TAACCATCTGTATTTCCTTGGAGAGCTGGGATTTGCACTTATATCCATAAACCACATCAGGGAAGTGTTATATTCAGCTAAACATTCTCATGATGTTTTGAAACCCTCAGATATGTAGAAATCCCTTCACATTTTTCACACATGACAAGAATTTGCTTTTAGCAACCCTTGGCAATATGTATATCTTCATAGGGCAGTGGATAACTGGATTCAATTGTACCTTTAATTCCCTTCTTTGCTTACAGAGTAAAATTCTCACCTATTCAGAAGGCCAGCACGAGACCTATGCACAACTAAAGTCCCACTTCATCCCTCAAAACAGACTGCCCTCTGTCATATACTTAGGATAGCTCAAAGCAGAACAGAATGGTTTTCACTTGTCTCATGCTGATAAAGAGTCAACGGTTCTCTCTGTTGTTGAAGTTGATTAAAAAGGTCTAATTTCCCCCCTTCATATGATCGTGTATTAGACATCAGAAGATGTCCTTACAAATTAAAAATTCATGATGATAGCATAATTGCTGAAAGGAGTATTTAGAGATCTTTTCTTTTCTTTTCTTTTCTTTTCTTTTCTTTTCTTCATTGTCCAATATGATAAATAAAAAAGAATTGCCGTTCGTTTTAGCAGTTGGAAGTTTTCTATTTTTTTAAGAAAAACAAGTTACAACTACAACTGCATATTATCCATAATTCTAAATTGTTTATCTTACCAAGTCCTTCAAAATCTACAAGGAAACACCATTAGTATCTTGTAGGCATCTCATCATTTCACACCTGCATTGAAGCTTGCAAGATCAATTCTCACCTTGTCATACTCTAAGGAAGAATAAAACTACTGTAACTTGGGATCTTGCTGTGGTATTATATACTTTCACAGATGCTATCCACCGCTTAGAGACTATAGGCAGCTGCCTTAATATATCTTATAGTCAAAACAACTTTTCTACTAGATATTACTATACTTCTGTCAGAAGAGCAGTTGAATTAAACTGTCTGGCACAGAGTTACATTTTCTTTCTGGCAAGAATTACATTACCAGCAGTGGACACTGAGAACTGCTGGCACCAAAGGATTATTGCATTATTAGCAGACACTTCATTCTTTATAATATTTAAAGATGATGTTACATTTAGACAACGAGCTTCTATAAAGCAATCATGGGTTTCCACATCAGTTTTGAAATCTGCCTATATGTTTGCTCTCCCCAACCTCATAACTCAGAATCCAAAGTCTGTGCCACCTGCTTGACATTAAAAGGGCTCCGAAGGACTGTATTTAACAAACTGCTGTATTCCAAAAATCTCCCCAACAGCTCATATACTATCAGCAAAGAAAACATGGCCTCTTATTACTATGCAGACTTTATCAATCATGATTTCCATTCAGAAATCCTGTTTTCATCAATATACATAATTACTATTTCCAGTTACAACAGAGTCTTCAAGAGTTGTAGCAGTCTTTTGGCTAAATTAGAAAATATATATATATTTCAGTATACAGTTACAAAGAGTAAACTATTGTCCTCGACAATGCCAACATTTTCAAACTCCTATGGTTTCCTTGCGAAAATATTTGTATTTCCCTTTATCTGCTTTACAGTCTTCTCTTTAGCCTTCAGAAGACTACATTTATGTTACTGAGGAAGCTTAAATGTTACTGTTATAATGATCCTTTACTGTTTTGTTGTGTATCTGGCTTGGTATATAACACCAGTTCCACTCAAAGCTGCTTGATTATGCTCACATTATAGTCAGTGGCAAAACTCTCATTGATTATTTTTTGGAGTAAGATTAGGCCTTAATTGATGTAATTCCCCCTTCGTCTTAAGAAATTCAAAATGAGGGATATGATTCACTTCCCTCAATGGAATTGTATTTAAAAAGTGAGCGTGGAATCACTAAAAACCAAGGAGTTAATTTATCTACATTATATGTGCACCTCTAAACTTTCTGTAGGCGATTGGGAAAAGGAATTTTAATAGAATTTAAACAAACCAAACCACCCAAATCTATAAAATATGCTAAACAAGAGCAGTGGTTTTCAACCAAGCAGTGGTTTTCAACCAAGGGTATCCTTAGGGATACAGAGAGGTTTTCTGGGGTCCATCAACTTATCTAGCTATTTGTCTAGTTTTAAAACAGGCTACATAAAAATACTAGAAAAGTCAGGGCAAGCTAAAACGTTATACAGCAAATTATTTGTTTATGCTGCTCTATACACTATGCACTGAAATGTAAGTAAAATATTTATATTACAATTGGTTTATTTCATAATTATATGGAAAACAAGTATTTTTCAGTAGTAGTGTGCTGTAATACTTTTGTATTTTTATGTCTGATTTTGTAAGTAGTTTTAAATGAGATATAACTTCGGATGTACAAGACAAATCGGATTCCTGAAAGAGATACAGTAGTCTGCAAAGGCTGAGAGCTACTAACTTAGAGGGAAGAGTGATCCTTCTTTCTGGATTAGGAGGAGAAGTATAGATATCTATAATTGAGTAATAGGAGTAGTAGTTCGTAACTGGGATTCCTACTTCTTAACTCAATACAAAAAATAAATGTTATTGATAACTACCAGTACTGTTCAGTTTAGAGAATTACAGTATATTATATTATTCTAGGACTTGGAGCATTGCAGGGGAGCTTCTATTGTGGTATAGAGGAGGCTTAAACAGAAACCAAGTGCTGGCTGCCTTCACTTCTTTTAATTTCTTTAGTTTTTTTTTTAAATACACACACAGTAGTGATGTAGCAGTAGTTATAATTTCAGTGAGGGTATGTCTACACTAGCCCCCTAGTTCGATCAAGGGAGGCTAATGAGGGCGACTGAAATTGCAAATGAAACGCGGGATTTAAATATCCCGCGTTTCATTAGCATGTTCCCGGCCGGTCGCCATTTTAGAAATTGACTAGCCCAAAGTAACTGCCCGCATCTACACGCGACAGTGAAACAGGATTCCGAATTAAAGCCCTAAATCGAATTAGCTGGTATTCCTCCTGCAATGAGGTTTAATTTAGGGCTTTAATTTGGAATCCTGTTTCATTGCCACATGTAGACACAGGCAGTTACTTCGGGCTAGTCAATTTCTAAAATGGTGACCGGCTGGGAACATGCTAATGAAGCACGGGATATTTAAATCCCGCACTTCATTTGCAATTTCGGTCGCCCTCATTAGCCTCCCTAGATCAAACTAGGGGGCTAGTGTAGACATACCCTTATTAATTATCCATTTGTTCAAATCAGAGAGACAATATGGAAATTTTGATAGCATTTGAAACAAAGTACAGGTTGGACCTCCCTTATCTGGCACCCTTGGGACCTGACTGGTCCTGAATGAGGGAATTTGCCAGACCAGAGGAGGTCCCTCCCAACACGTCTCATGCTGAACTGCTGCCCCTTGCTAGGGCTCCAGCCCGCTACTACTTCTGCCTGCCCAGCTGTGACTCCCCAGCCTGGCGCTCCCTAGCTGCCACAGGGGGGTGGGGCTCTGTGGCCATTGTCAGCTAGCTGTAGCAGTTATATTAGTCTAACGGGGTTTGGCCCCTCCTGACTAGGGCATGCCCCCTTCTGTCCCATATGTTAAATTAAGGGTGATATAAAGCTAGTTTTATGCCAGCCAAAGATTCACTTATCCCATGAGAATCTTCCCTTATTGCTGAAGGTGGCTTCTGGGTCAGTGCAAAGGCACTTAGAAACAAGGATTTGACTTAATAGAGTTATTTCAGAGAGAAAATGAATCTATTATGACTGATTTTGCAAGATAGTACTGATTACATTGAATAGGATTTTCAGAGGCATCTGGTACACGTAAGTCATTTTAGAAAATCCCACCTATTTCTTATAGAATAGCAAGGACTAGAGAGAAACAGTTTAAGATGGAGAAAAATGCAGAAGAGTGTATGTGTAAAAGAAATATTAAAAATTGGAAGTGAAAGTTTCAAATGAGAATTCCATATAGGCCATGGGGTGGGAAGAAGGACCTACATCCTGTCAAGTATGCTGGAGCTGCACTGACACACATGAGAGATGGGGAAAGGAGAGTTGGGTTTGGTCCTTCTTTGGGCAGGGGGCTGGACTTGATGACCTCCTGAGGTCTCTTCCAGCCCTATGATTCTATGAATTCTATGAGAAGGGAGGAAGCAAAGGGACTCATTCCCCAGTCATGTGTTCATGCAGTCTCAAGGCTGCTTTAATATATTCCAGCACTAGTGGGACTCTCATTACAATCTGGCAACACCCTCCTTTCTCTCTATAATGGTGACCAAATATCCCAATTTTAGGGACAGTCCCAGTATTTGGTGCTTTGACTTATACAGGCTTCTATTACCCCTCACTCCGTAGTGATTTTTTACATTTGGTATCTGGTCACCTATGTTTGGGAAGACCATGAATGGGGGCCCAGAGCCATCTATGCCAGCTTTACAGCAAGCAGAGATTCTCCTTGTATTGGGAATTGTAGCTATTTGTCTCAGTTAATTTTCCATCTGTTTTGAGCTAGTAAAGCATGGCCTAAGATTTGGACCCCAAATTTGCCTGAATTAATCCAAAGTCGATATCTTGGTAGCATGTCTAGTAAGATATGTTATCATCACCTCAGAAAATATTGGCCTTGCAGAATGGAGTCATAATCTTGATAAAATGCCCTACTGATTATCTATATAGACAAGGGTAAGGGAAACAATTGACAAAAAAGTTACTTAGTTGGGTTTTTAACCAACTTTCAACCCATAATCTTATGTTGAAAAGAGACTATTTAAGAATAACTATATAACAAAATCAGAGTGTTAAACTGCCTGTATTATAGAGACAATTATGTATTAAACACAACTGTGAAAAATGCACGAGTATGTAAGAAATAAAATATTTTTTCAACTTCACATCTGATCAAATAGAAGCACACAAATAATTTTGAAACAAAGTTTTTAGTTCTCGTGTTTCATATTTGTTCTTAAAGATATTTTTAGATTTTTTAAACTCAAAACTATTTATTTTTCCAGGACATTTCAGAATGGTTTTGGTGAGCTTCCATCAGATTTCTCCAAACCAAGTATCAGTCACCCGCTATACTGGCTATCTTGCATAACACCATTTTGTCCATCTTTACTTATGTGAGTATTTCTAGTTAACATAAATAAGAAAAAACTCCAGAGACTACTTCGAGTTAGATATTGTTGTGAGATTGTGCTGATAGTGTTTCTAGATAAATATTGTAGTTAAAATTCAGTTGATACCATATATAAGCGCTTTTCTGAATTTGTCAAGTAAGTTTTATCTGATGAAAACTATTCTGTTTAAATGTCCATGATCTGTAAGTGCATTTTTAACTCTTTAGTTGTGTATTTATGTTATGTTTGATATCTGAATTATTTTCAATGTTTAATGTTTTAATTAAAATATAAATATGCAGTAGTTGACAAGTATGTAATTCAGCACAGGTGTGATTTTCATAGTATAATTTAGGAGGCACTTAAGAAGGCTAGCTCCAAAAAGTAAGTTTGATAGTTAAATAACAATTTGAAAAATATGCCAGTATTTTCTACTGATTGGTTATATTTGATTTTAGGGAACTTGCTACATGTTTAAAAGCAAATGAATAATTTCTCTTTCACTGCATATAATGACAAGTATCACACAGCATATGTTCCAAGCTGTGCTGTCATTTCATTTCTAATTTTGTTTCCAACATACTTACACACCCATTGTTGATCCTCTCCCAATCCTTTTGCCTCTTTCCCCATATTGGCCCCCCAAAAGGATATTTTAGTTCATTTTTCATAATTTAGATGTTTGCAAATCTGTATATTTATATATGTATATATTATGTCTAAAACACAATAAATAAAAGACAAAGGAATCTGGTTCGATTCTTAAAATACTTTATGCTAACATGGAAGGGCCTGCTGTGGTGAAGACCATGGCCAAGATCACCATTGTTGTGATCTCCTCTTACTGGGCCAGTTCCTAGAATGTAACTTATGACATAGATCACCAGGGTAAAGAGATGTCCTTATCACACCTTGCACTGCTTTCAGCAAGAAAGGGAGTGTAGGGTAGCAGCTATTATTGTCTCGTACTCTACTCATGGATTCCTCTTGTGTAAGGGAACTCCTCCTGCGGTCCCTTACATGGCCCATTTCAGTCAGCAGAAAAATTCTCACTACCTGCATTGGGATCAGGATTTTACACATGGTCTTTAGAGCAGCTTTGCTTGAGGAGTGGCTTAAAGTTTCTGTAACAGTACTAAGGACTTATGTATTGTCATTGTGTGGGATAAAAATAATAAAATGGTGGGAGTCTGCATCTCTCCTATACACTGAGGAAGTGAATTCCATGGCAGGTCTGCACAGGATATGGAAGTTAAGAAGAGGGCAGAATCCCCCACAAACAGCATGGCCATGCTGTCTACATGGAGATAATCCATATAGCTAGACTCTAAAAACACTTAGTACTTAACCTGGGCAACAACATTTTCACCTACTCACAAAATCCTGTGCGACACTGATTAGTAGAAGGGACAAAGAATTCTCAATTTTACTGTCAATATTTTGCCCAGTATATTTACATTTGGAAGTTTTCTTCTTTCCAATATCATATATAAAGTGTGAATAATAAAAATTTTTAAAAAGTTTTCAAATTACTAGACTAGACTAGAAAACTGTAGTCAGGGCCATCGTTATGACTTCTGGTGCCCTACTCAACCCGAGCACCTGAACCCCCATCTCCTGCCATGAAGTGGGTCAGCAACTCTGTGTGGGGAAACGGAGTTGTGCTCTGGGCTGCAGGAGTAGAAACAAGGCAGGGAAACTGTTGGGGGAACAGGCAGAAGGGAGAGTGGTGCAGGGCGTGGGGCCAGAGGATTGGCGCCGCTGGAATCGTGGGTGCTGAGGATTTCATCCCCTGGGGCTGGGAGACAGAGCAGAGGACCTGGAAACTGAGGGTTAAGGCTGTCAGGGCTGGGAGGCAGAGTGAGGGTGTGATGGTATGGACCTTCAGGGTCGGGAAATGAAGCAGTGGGTAAAAAGCTGGAGGATTGAGCTGCTGGGGCCAAGAGGCAGATTGGGAGGCTGTGGGATTGGGCTACTGGGTTTGGGAGGTGGAGCGAGGGGCCTGAGGGTGAAGGGTTGGGCCGCCAGGACCAGGAGGTGGAGCAGGAGTCAAAAGGTCATGGAACTGGGCCTCCAGGAGCAAGAGACAGAGCAGAAGCTGGGGGGTAGGAGATTGGGGCTGCTTGAGCTGGCATTGCCCTCAGCCAGCACTAAGGATATGCAACATAGGACACTCATTAATTTGGGGCACAGTAGTACCCCAAATTTAGTGGTATCCCAGGTAGCTGCTTATTCTGCACGTGCCTGAGGATGGCCCTGACTGTAGTATTAAAGCATCCTGCTTATTAATCCTCTTATGGGTCATCTTGAAAATAGAGCTGTGTTCTTATTCATAGCAAAGTTGAAAACAAGTGGGACCCTGATCCATGCTGGAGTTGCTAGAAGTTACTGTGATGGGTTGCATCACAGGGATCCCCTTGGGTGCTGGTCATGCCCCTGAGCCTGCCTACTTGTCCTCTGGGGCACTCCACTGTGCTGTCTTGCTGGGCCAGAAACTCTGGTCTCCCCCAGCCAAGGAAGCCAACAGGATTGCCAGGCCAGCCAGAGGGGATGGACCCTCAGGCAGAAGGGGATGATGCAGTGCTAAGCTTATGGTGGCTTATATCTATACTGGAGTTAGATACGAAAAATTGAGAAATTGTATAAATCTGATAGTAATGTGTTATGTTTAGAGGTAACCTGTGGTAGAAGAAAGCTTACTATTTTAGGTATTCTAGATACATGTACACATACATTTATACTATGTTTCTTTGACTTTAAATTTTTTGTTTTGTATTTCTTAAAAATAATCATTGTTAACTTCTGCTTGTCTAATAGAAGGTTCAATTTTACACTTTGGTTTTTCATGCTACATTCCAACAAAAATAACAAATTTGTTTATAAAACTACTTAGTGACTAGTTTTAATGAATATTTATGTTCTTTTAGTGATTTGTTTTATGGACTTATAACTCTACTACTTGCAAATCATCACTCGTCTCTTTTCTTCCATTATTAAAAAACTGAAAATTTAAATATATGATATTTATATATAGTTTACCTTTAGTCTCTTTTTATGAGGCTAGTGCTATGCTCATGGCTACATGAGCTGGGAGGATGAGAGAACATATGCCTCTCCATATGTCCAATGCAAAAACTTCTCAGTGCATTTATTGGTGTGAGCTTAGTGGCTGTAGGGAATGTCTGCAACATTTTATTTTTCCTCTGAGTGAGTCACACCACTGTACATTTCAATTTGCAAGAGGCTTAAAGAGCCAAGAACTGGTGTATATAGTATATTGCAACATAATAACTTCCCATCTGGTCAATGACAGACAAGCTTTATTTCTACCAAATATTCTAAAAATGGCCTTTAAATTTAATTTAAGTAATTTTAAATAGTAATGCTCACGTGCCCAACTGACCAAACTCCTCACCGATCTCATATTTTGGGGGGCAATTAAAATAAGTGGTAGAAAAAGTGTTCTGTAGCTATATGAAAACCAGCCATAAAGATAAACAAAACTGAGGCTGGCCACTGTAATTTTATTGAATTAATGAAAATGTACAATTTACACATAAGTCAAAGTGCTAAATGTCATTAATACTAGTATTTTTTTATTTTTACCTTTCTTGTTATATAATTCCTGCTTTGTTGCTTTTATGTCTGCGTTAAGTATCTGTTATTGATAAAATATAATGTGTTTTCAAGAACAGTTATTAAAATTGGAAGAGATTAATCCTGAAAGTGTATTTTAATTGATGTAAAAATGTCAAGGTTTTCTGTTTGGTGCAAATTGTATTACGATTTGAGTATGTGTGTATTGATATTAGTCATATACAAATGATATATATGAGTGTGTACATATATATATTTATATGTACATACACAATATAATATACAATTAACATAATTACCAAGCAGCTAGTGTTATTACACAAACAGCATACCTGACAGAAACTCACAAAAACATGAAAATGACCTTGAAATCCCTTAGCGGTATTTCTCCACCCACAGCCACGTACCATTCCCATAATTACCATACACCACTGGCAGTACAATCGAAAAGTCATGCAAAGCGGGTAAGTCAGAATAGGCAAATCCGCGGGGGATTTAAATATCCCCCACGGGATTTAAATAAACATGCCCGCCGCTTTTTTTCCGGCTTGGGGAAAAGCCAGAAAAAAAGCGTCTAGACTGGCGCAATCCTCCAGAATAAAGCCCTTTCAAGTAGGAATAACAGATCCTCCGGAAAAGGGCTTTATTCCAGAGGATTGCGCCAATCTAGACGCTTTTTTTCCGGCTTTTCCCCAAGCCGGAAAAAAAGCGGCGGACATGTTTATTTAAATCCTGCGGGGGATATTTAAATCCCCCGCGGATTTCCCTATGCTGACTTACCTGCTTCGCATCCCTTTTCCGGAATTTGGGGCCAGTCTAGACGTAGCCTATGTGTTCACAATACCTCTTTACCAAATTACCACTTACAGTACTGTTCATTATAAATGCTTGACATAATGGTGTTTTGGGCTGTGAGGAGTTTGATAAAGGAAGTTCTGAGAGGGAGACTTACCGTACATGATCTGAGGCAAGTAGTTTTTGTGGTAATGGTAAGGTGTATGCTTAGGACAATGTTTCTCAAGGTGGTCTGTGAAATCACATTGAGAAACCTGCTATCTGGCAGCTCCATTTACTTACCAGCTCCACAGCCATGGAGCCTCGCAGCTCACATTTGTTCCAGTTTGCCTTTTGCAGCCAAGGGGAATCGCGAGGCTCCATGGCCATGGAGCCAGTAAATAAACATACCAGAGAAGCCAGTTAGAAGGTTTTTCAAAGTGCTTTCATATTATCTTCTTATCAAAAAACTAGGCAAATACAACTTGGATGGGGCTGCTAAAGTGGGTGCATAACTGGCTGGATAACCATTCTCGGAGAGTAGTTATTAACAGTTCACAATCTCCTGGAAGGGCATAACAAGTGGGTTCTGCAGTAGTCTATTTTGGGACTGGTTCTCTTCAATATCTTCA